AAAAAAAAAAAAAAAAAAAAATCACCCAGTATTCTGCATTTCCTTTCAATCTAATATATAAAGCAGCTTTTTAATAACATCACTCCATCTACTTGGCCACGATTAAAAAAAAGATCTGTCAAGTGAAAAATGGAACAGGGGGACGGCTGCCAGCACAAATGCCTACAGGGGCAGGGCAGTCTGGTTAGGTTTGGTTTGAGTACCAGGTAGGAAAAGTCAGAGAGCTGTGCACCCTCCACAACAGACCCCAGGCCTCATGGGTAACGGTGGGGCACAGGGAGAAGCCTAAAGTGAAGTCTGAACCCAGGGCCCAAGGACAGCACTGCCACAGGGAAGTGTGCTTAGGACCAGGCACTGCGGCCCCACTCCGGCTCACCTGTAGCACCTGGGAGCTGTCACCCTGCACGGCATAGTGGAAGGCAGTCTCTCCTTTGCTGTCAGTGACATCCATCTGGGCATGGCAGTACTGCACCAGCTCCACCAAGATCTCCCCGTCGCCCTTTCGGCAGGCCAGGTGCAGGGGGGTGCAGCCCTCCTCATTCTCCGTGCTATTGGCGCAGCTGCAGGGGGCAGGGAGGGGATCACTCGGGGGACCCAAGTGCAGAAACAGGGTGAGGAAACTGGGGCGTTCTCAAAAGCACTCAGGCCACGCTCCAAGCCTGGCTGGTTCAAAGTCCGGCCTGTCTCGACTCATTTGTGTTTGATATGCTTTGCTTCAGGTTTACTTTACTTTGCCTGCCCTGGGGCATGTGCCCCCGGGCCACACCAATGTGAGGTAGAAAGGGGGTGACCCAGGAAAGGGTCACAGAACACAAGAATCTCACCAACCTTGGCAACACAATCTCTCCAGGCTTCAAGACCTTATCTACCATACCCGCTGTGCCTGTGCTAAGAAGGGACAGAAGTGTCACCACAGGGTCCAGGATCGTGCCTGTGAACTGTGAAGCGTGATAAGGTTGCGAGCTCTGGGCCCATCTTCGAAAGGAGACACCAGCTCAAGCCCTGCTCAGCCCTCTGCAGCTGAGTGACCCAGCACAGGTCCCACAGTCTCAGGATGACACTTCATGGGGTTGGGGGAATCCAAGCTCACGGTGGGCGGGAAGCAGCTCCCATGGGCTAGGCCCCTGTAAGCACTGGGAAATGGTACACTTCTCCTCCTGACTTTAGTCAAGTCTTGTGTTCTACCCCAGGGGCCGAAACTTAGTGAGATCCTGTCTCAAAAAAAAAAAGTTGAAAAGGGCTGGGGATGTAGCTCAGTGCAAAGGCCCTGGTTTAATCTCTAGTACTGGGGGAAAAAAAGAAAGAAATAGGAAGGGAACTGAAGCTGAACAGGGAGACTCACCATGCCCCATGCCTGTCCACACTGGCAGCACCCATGGTCCAGGTCCCAGCCCACCCACCTGATGACCCGGCTGTGATGAAAGCACTCGAGGATGCCCAGCTCCACGGCCAAGTGCGCCACGGACCAGCTTGGGTGGTTGCGGATGAGGTCGCTGAGGTGCTGCAGGACCTCGGCGTGCAGGACCTGTGCGGAGCTCTCGTAGAAGGGAGGCAGCTGGGAGGAGAACAGCTGGAAGCTCCTCAGGGCCTCGGCCTCCGACTCCAGCTGGAAGAGTCTGCAGCGGGGACAGAGAGGGGCTTGAGGTAAGCCAGGGCCCAAGGCCTGGCCCCTGAGGGGTCCGAAGTCTTGGGGCCCCCAACAGGCTGCTGCTTGCCCAAGGCTGTGAGCTGGCCACCCCCGCCACACACATGGGCCCCCAAGTGCAGTTCAGGCTGGGCTTCTTTGTATTTGAAAAGTTTTCCTAGTCTGTCTCTCTCTCCCTTCCTCATTTCTTCTCTCTCCCTTTCTTCCTCCCTCACTTCCTTTTCTCTTCCTTTCTTTCCTCCAGCATGTGGTGCTTTCATATTTTCTTTAACCAAAGCCCTGTTGTATCCTCTTTCCAATTCGATGACCACACTTGAGGGCCCCAGTCTCACATCTCTAGCCTTGTACCTGGTGAGGTTTAAGTAAGTACTATTACCTAACTGTCAGCAATAAAGTGGCATGTCAATGATGGTACACCTATGGATGTAAGACTGCATGACTGAAATGAGATGAAAAGAACAGGGAAATATTTATTTTGTAATACATGAAAATGCAGGACGTAGCCAAGTGTGATAGCATATGCCTATAATCCCAGATTTTGGGGAGGCTAAGATAGGAGGATCTTAAATTCAATGCCAGCCTGGGCAAAGTAAGAATGTGGTAGAAAAAAAACAAAACAGACTGAGGATGCAGCTCAGTGGTAGGGTGCTTACCTAATATGCCAAAAGGCTCTGGGTTCAATTCTCAGTATTACCAAAAAACAAAACAAAACAACAACAAACCATAAAAGATAAGAGCAGAGTGAATAATCCCCAGCTAATAAGAAATGAAAACATAGAAAATAGTCATAAATGGTAAAAGCAATATACTAAGTGTAAGAGCGAGACTCATAAACCACATTCTGTATGATGAAAGGCAACACCGCAGAGACAGAGTCAGTGTCTGCCAGGGCTGAGGCAGGCACGGGATTTACTTTGACAGAGCACAGAGGCAATCCCAGGGGCAACAGGGACGGACTGCATCTTCACCATGGTGGTGGTTACATGGTGTACACCTTTACCAAACCCAGCAATGGTTCACCTAATATCGGTCACTTTTATCTTTCATAAATCACATCTCAATAAAGCTAACTAAAATGAAACACACAAAAATGCAAAGTTGCCCAGGCTGGACTCAAACTTGCAATCTTCCTGCCTGAGTCTCCCAGAATGCCGGGATTACAGGTGTGCACCACCATACCTGGCTAGAAAATATTTTTAATTGAATGGTAAAAATACAGCATAGCATGGATGCTATGGAGTTTTTAACTAAAAAATTTTAAAAATCACTTAAACTTTCATCTCCAAAAGATAGAAAAAGAATAGCAAACATGGTAGAAAAAAAAGTAGGTTAAAAGTAAAAACAGGAATCAGTGAAATATAAAGTAGACAAATTTTAAAAAACAGGTGTGGTGGCACATGCATTCTGCGAGGCTGAGGCAAAAGAATCAAAAGTTTGAGTTCAGCTTGGGGAATTTAGTGACCCAGTGAAACCCTGTCTCAGAAGAAAAATTAAAAAGGGCTGAGGATGTAGCTCGGTGTGAAGGTCCAAGGCTCAATGCCCATTACTGGGGGGAAAAAGACAGAAGTTGGTTCTTTGAAAAGGTTTTAGAAATTGCCAAACCTCTAGCAAAACCAAACAAGACACACAGAAGACATCAAGTACCATTCCTTTAGATCCCTCATATATTTTGTTTGTTTGTTTTGTTTTTTGATACCGGGAATCGAACTCGGGACCTTGCGTTTGCGAGGCAGGCAGCGGCACCACTGAACTAAATCCCTGGTCCTAGATTCCCTCATATATTATAACAGAGTTTACGAACAATTACGCCAACAATTTGAAAACTTAGATAAAATGGACAAACTGCTTGAAAGCACCAATGCTGATGTGAGAAGACAACCTGACAGTACTGCATCTGTCAGACACCAAATCCATCTTCTATAACCCTCCCATAAACACCCCAGCTTCCGATGGATTCCTATATTTATGAAAGAAATAATGTGCATTACTAATTTTCAGAAAATAGGAGACAGAAGGACTTTTGTGAAGTATTTAGATAGAGGTCTTTCTTATATAGGACACACAAACACACCAGTAGCACAAGGGGAATAAATGTGACTTAATTAAAACCAAGAATTCTGAAAAAAACCCAAAAAACAAAAAACAAGAATTCTGGTTTATCGATAGACACCATTAAGAATGAAAAGGCAAACACTGAGTGTAAGGCTGAACAATAAAGGGTGTGTATCTGGAACACACACAAACCACTGAAGATACTGAAATGGTTATCAAAATGGTTATTAACTTCATTGTTAGTGAGGCAAATGCAAAATAAACTGAAAGAACATTATCATTGGATGCCCCAAAGAATGACTACAAATTTTAAAGCAGACAACACCCAGTGTCAGAGGATACAAAGTAAGAGAAACTTACTCACTGCAGGTAGGAAAAGAAATGGGCTTTTATCTAGGAAAGTTGGTAAGGTTGATGCAGAGCAGATATGCATGCATACTACATGCACCAAGAAAGCAAGAAATAATCTAAAGTTACATCAACAGTAGAACAAATAATAAAATTATGACATAATACAGTCATGTGCTGCTGAATGACAGGGCCATGTTCTGAGAAATGTGCCACTGTGCACACCTCACAGAGGTCACTGATATGAACAAGGATGGAGATGAAGTCACTGGGCCATAAAATCCTAAAGGACCATCGCGCTGTGTACACACGGTCCAGCCTACAATGGACTGCGGCTGGGATGACTATGACTCCCGCAGCTACGCACACACACACACGCAGCAACCCACATGAAAGGCTACCAGTTACCTGCTGCAGGAGAAAGGGGACAAAAGCAGGCTTCTGGGGGACTAAGATGTTGCTTCTTGACATGGGTGGTGATACAGAGGTGTCTGATAAATCAGAGCCGTACATGCTTTTCTGTATGTATGTTATAGTTCATCATCTTAGACAAGTTTAAAGAGACAGAATAGGAGAAGAGGAATAAAGATAGCTGAATATAACCAGTGCCTGGAGGGAAAGTGGCATCAGGGGGGTTTTCCTGTTTTTTCGTTTTTGTTTTTAAGAACAAAGAACACATTTGCATGGTAATGGGAAACGCCTTTGCGGTGGAGGCTGTGGACAGAATACTGCACACAGCAGGCCAGCAAGAGTGGGTGGCATCACAGGCCAACTTGAGGGTCAAGGCTGAGGTGAAGGGGACCCTGTGCCCCCTCCAGACCCAGGGGAGAAAGGCCGTAGCTACAGAGGACAGTGTCCTCCAGGGGGACCCTGGAAAGGTCACAGAGGGAGTGGACGGAGCCTGGGGTGGCTGGTGCACTGGAGCGCGGGGCATCTTCTCTTCTAGGACACAGCCCCAGTGAGAGCTGCTGGGAGTCTTCTGAGTGGACTCTCCCTGCTAGGGGTGGAGGAGAGGCCTGCGGCTGAACTCAGTGTGTTTGCAAAGCTCCTGAACTTGCAGGCAAAACGGTGGAAGCCATTTGGCACAGGACAAGTTCCCTTGGGACTCTCAAGAGGGTCTTGGATCAAAAATAGCCCTGAGTCACCAGGCTAGAGGGGTGTCTAATGCCCCACACCACAGAGCACTTCTCTTTCCTGTCACCTTCCCCTGGTCAGGTCCTCCAGACCCTAGCAGGACCAGCGGCCCCCGGCCTTCATGTCAAGCACGTTCCCTTTGAGGACCACAGACTTATCACCATGCAGGCATGGGAACACAGGAGGGGCAGAGCCCTGGACCCTTGTAGGGAGGCCATGTGTACACAGACACATGGTGACAGGGGGGTTTCACAGGGTCCCATGACAACATTCATCTCTGGATGCTGGGTCCAGACAGGCCTTTGCCACTGTCGGGCTACCTGCTGCTGTTCACTCTGCTTGGTGGAGACGGGCTGGGGTGGATGATTGGATGAAGGAGTGGTCCCCAGGCTTGTGGCCAGACACAGGCCATCTGAGGTTTCCTAAAAAACAGTTCTATGCTATTATATAGGTTTAATGCAATGCCGACTGAAATTCCAACAATATATTTCACAGAACTAGAGAAAACAATCCAAAAATTCATTTGGAACCAGAAGAGACCTAGAATAGCAAAAGAAATTTTAGGCAAACAGGATGGTATTGGCAAAGAAATAGACCCGAGGATCAGTGGAATAGATTAGAAGATGCAGAAACAACTACAGATATGCTCAGCTACCTCATCTTTGACAAAGGAGCCAACCATCCTTTTTGGAGGAAAGATAGCCTATTTAATAAACGGTGTTGGAAAAACTGGATTTCAATCTGCCAAAGATTAAAACTAGACCTATAGCTATCACCATGCACTAAATTAAGATTGAAGTGGATTAAAGATTTAAATATTAGGACAGAAACACTAAATTTCCTGGAAGATAAGTTAGGTAGAACTCTTGAAGATATTGGTATAGGAAAAGACTTTATGAACAAAACCTCAGTAGCATGGGAACTTGCACAAAGAATCAACAACTGAGATTTTATCTTATTAAAAAGCTTCTGTGCTGCAAGAGAAACCACCAACAAAGACCCAATTCAAAAATGGGCATCTGAAATGAACAGACATTTCTCAGACAAAGAAGTAAAAGCAGCAAATAAACATATGAAGAAATGTTCAACATCACTGGTTATTCCAGAGATGCAGATGAAAACAACACTGAGATTCCACCTCACCCCAGAAAGAATGGCTGCTATCAAGAAATCAACCAATAACAAATGCTGGCGGGGGCGTGGGGAGAAAGGAACCCTTCTCCATTGTTGGAGGGAGTGTAGATTGGTACAACCACTGTGGAAATCAGTAGGGAGATACCTCAAAGAACTAGGACTAGAGGTCCCATTCGACCTAGCTATCCCCCTGCTGGGTATCTTCCCAAAAGAATTAAAAGAATCATACCACAGCGATGTATGTGCACCCAAGTTTTTAGCGGCACAGTTTGTAACAGCTAAAGCTTGGAAACAGCCCAAGTGCCCATCAACTGGAAACTGGATAAAGATGTGGTTTTTTTATAAAATGGAGTACCACTCAGCCATAAAGAATGAGAAACTAGAGACATTTATAGCCAAGTGGATGCATATTGAGGCCATCCTCTTAAGTAAAATAAATAGGACACACATGTATAAATACCGAATAGTTTCTCTAGTGTGAGAAACTGAAAATGTAAATAAGGATACACACAGATGAAATGGCCTAATAACATATTTCTCAGATTGTGTTTCCATCACGTGTCATATGACTGTACCGAAATTTAAATTAGGGAGAAGTTTGGCTCATGTGGAGTCTGCTAACCAACTGGAGTTTTTTTCCAGATCATTATTTGTTCAATGTTGGGTTTTGGGGACCTTTCAGAAACAAATCACATCCTCTGGTGTCTTGCTCGTGCTTGAGATGCTGTAAGTTATATGGAAAAATGTTTGAGTGCTTTTCAGTTTTGTTGTGGTTAACTTCTACTGTATTTGAATATTATTGTAGTTTTTTTTCCCCTTGCATTGTTCTTCTTTGAATGGTTTTAATTTTTTGTATGTATGTGTGTTTGATAATAAAGTTATTTTAAAAATGAAAAAAAAAAACAGTTCTATGGCACAGTCCTGGCCAGAGAGCCCCAAGTCAGCCCCCTTTAGGGATGCAAAGGGCAGGCGTCCCACATGGGTCACCTTTTCTGCTGTGCACAGCCCCGCGTCTGCCAAGATACCAGTGAGGGGCTGCCCGGTTCATCAAACATCATATGTCACAGTAAATGTCAATTGTAAATGATTAATTTGTACAAGGAATAGAGGTACCGATGGCATTCTAAGGTACACAGGAAGGCGAGTGCTGTCCAGGAGCTCAAACAAGAAGAGTCAGAGCTGGTGCCATACGTCAGGCAGGGATCAGTGCCCCACCTGGCTTGTCGCCCTGCAAGGGGGCCCTGGAGTAAGAAAACAGGGTGTTTCTACAGCCAGGATGCTGGGGTGTGGGTGACTGTGCTACTGAATAGCTGTGTGACTTTGGGCGAGCCACTTCAGCCTGCGTCCCCTCATCTGCAAGAGGGGTCCATCGGCAACACCCCGCCTCCCAGGGCCGCAAGAGGGCATGGTGAGTCAATGATTGTAATGGTTCCTGGCACACAGTGGGCACTAATGAAATAGATACTGTGAATGTGCCGGTGTCACCATCTGTATCTGCACGGGTGGCTCCAATCTCTCCAGCCAGAAGGGGCGATGTGGGCTTCGGGCTTTAGGTAACAAAGCCCAAGGACTTGGCAGGGCCTCACTCCATCCCCCAAGGAGCTGGAGATATCTAAAAGGTAAACTGATCCCAGGAAGAGGAGTCCTAGCAGACCCGGCCCTCCTCACAAACTGCAGGGTGTTCAGAGGAGGTGGGGATGCTGCAGTGGCCCCCCAGCTTCCGTGGTTTATCCCCTAGTGTTCATGTAGGGTCCCCAGTGTGGCAGTATTAAGGGGTGGTACAAGCTTTAAGAGTGGGAGGCAAGTTGGGCGTAGTGGCACATGCCTGTAATCTCAGCACTCTGGAGGCTGAGGCAGGAGGATCACCGTGAGTTCAAGGCCAGCCTGGGTTACACAGTGAATTCAAGACCAGCCTGGACTACATAGTGAGACCCTGTCTCAAAAAAGCAAAAGGAGAAAGTGGGAGGCAAGGAGCCAGTGGGGGTGTTGCCAGTGGAAGGGATCCATGCTGGTCTTGCAGGTATTCTCCCCAGAAGTTGGAATGAAAAGATCAGCGAACATGTGGTACATGCCTGTAATCCTTGCACTCGGGAGGCTGAGGCAGAAGGATCACTGCAAATCTGACGCCAGCCTGGGCTACACAGTGAGTTCAAGTCCAGCCTGGACTATACAGTCTGTCTCAACAAACCAAAACATAAAATAAAAAGAGTAAGAGGCATCTCTCCCTACTTGCTGGCTTCCGGTTTCACCCTGTGATCATCCCCATGTACTCCTACCATGATACCACCACCATCTTGGACACCACCAAAGGGGACCTTACCAGGGGCCAATAAATGGGACGGCCCAATCTTAAGACTTTCGCCTCTAAAACTGTGAACCAAACAAACCTCCTTTCTTTATAAGTACCCAACTTCGGGTATTTTGTTAGAGCAAAAGAAAAATCACTGACCACACATGGATGAGAATGCCAGAGCCCCAGTGCGTGCCTGACCCTTGCTCTGAGGCTGTGGCCACCCATAGCCCCCACTTCTGGGTCACACTTCTCGGCCTTGGCATTGCCATTTTTGCAGCTCTTCACAACTTCTGCTCCTGTGGCCCAGCCTCTGCCTTCCACCTCTGCTTTCCAGCTTCCCAGCTCACCCTGTACTGTCCTGAATCCAATAGTCGTCCACCACCCTGGGAGAATGCTGAATGGAAACATATTCATTCATTTATTCCACACACATACAAAGAAAATAGCACTGAGTGTCCTCCAGGAAGCAGACCCCTACTCTAGCCAGCTGTGCCTCCCCAGCAGCCTGCAGCTGTACACCCCACTGCTCAGCATCTGGCTGGCCCTGCTGTGCTAAAGTTGGCATCTTGCAATGGCCACTGTGTTCCTCTCTTAGCCCAAGTGCCTGCTCCAGGAGCCTCTTCCTCAGTTTCCTTGGGGAGCCAGGTTCTGAGATCTCACCTGACTGACTGGGCCCAAGACGCCTGCCCTCTTCTTCTGGCATCTGGGCCCTGGTCCTCAGAGTGCCACCTCCTGAGACTCATGGTATCACACGTCCCGGTCAGAAGGACCCCAGCTGTTTTCTTGTGCACCCCACACCCTGCACCTCCACAGGTCTAGAACAACCTGTCCGCGTTGTCCTGCCAGATAACCCCTTGTCATTCTTCCACAGTGGCTCCCAGAGCGCTGGGCAGCCCACCAGGAAGTGATGGCTTCCTGTGTCCCTGCCCCTGGGGTCCTCACGGGAGGTTATGGAGCCCGTGAGTAGGTGGCCTCCCTCACCACTTTACATGTTCCTTAAAGACATAGATCATGTCTGTCACCTCAAAGCCGGCTGGGCCTGCCCCGGGACTCTGGAGATACTGCAGTGCAGGTGCCCAGCACATGCTGAATGGATGGATGACAGAACAGGATGGCCAGATGGATGAGCAAGAAGCAAAGGGGACATCAGTATGTGCCTCCCCCCTTCAACACTGGCCTGCTGAGCCCCAGCAGACCCCACATTGCAGGCCTGGCCATGCCTGTCTCTTCCCAGCTGGCCCTGCAGCTGGCCCAGTGCCCTCGGCTCTGTCCTGGCTCCCTACCCCACCCTGGGAGTCTGGGCCTGGCCAGCCCTAACAGGTCCCCAACAAACCCTGGCCAGCCCCAGGAAGACATTTATGCCTTCCAAGACCCGGGCTAAGGTCACCAGAGCAGGCCTCACCTGACTTGGCCCTCCTCGGTCCCCCACCTTCCTTCCTCTGTCTACACAGGGAACAACTCAGCCTCTCCTCACATCCCACCTTCCAGAGTGGTGCCCCCTCCTCACTCCCCAGACCTCCAACAGATTCCTGAAGGAGCTGCTTCCCCACCATCCCACCTCCAGCTTGGGGAATCAAAAGAGAGACGCAGCTGCTATCACTCACCGGAAGCCACTCTGAGAGTTCCTGGGGTTGACCAGGATGCAGTCCCAGGTGCGACTGGAAGTGTTCTGGAACAGGATCAGCTGCCCTTCCTCCAGGACCCGGCTACTTGAGGCATAGTCAGTCAGGGCCACCGCCTTCACTCGGAATGGATTGGAGAACAAGGTGGTGACATTACTGAGGGTGTTGACCAGGCGGCCGAAGAACTGCATCCTCTGCACAGCAGGCAAGGAGGCCCCGCTGCCCGAACCCTCAGTCTAGAAGAAAAAGGGGTCTCCAGTCAGGTGGGCTTGGTCTCCCACGCCCACCTTACCACATGCAGCCACATCATGCATGGGCACCCAGCTGCTCCTCACCACTGCTGTCCCTGGATCCTGGGCCTGCAGGGACCTGGAAAGGAGGGAAAGAGAGAGATAACAAGGAAGGTAGGTCTCAGGGGAACTCCAGAGCCCTTGGCCAGGCTGGGGACCCAGGAGAAGGACGCCCTTTACTCCCCAGTGTCCTGGGCAGAGACTCAGTTTCCCCTTCTATGGCGGGTGGTACCATGCAAGGCCCTGGGCAGGTAGGGGGCTCTCGCCACCAAAGTCCTAGAAACAATACTTGGCAACCAAAGAGCTGGGCACAGGTTGTTTCAAGTCCACAAGCAAATCAGTGTCCCCTCTTTACTAGGCACCAAAAAGGAACCAGGACCTGAGAGTCCATCAGCAGGAAGGACAGCAAGTATCTCCTCTGCTCCCTGCTGTCCTGGTTCCCAAGGAGCCTGAGAGAAGCCACTCCACGGAATGAGGGTAAGCACGAGGACTCATGACACATAAACTTGGATGCGGGTTGCAGGGATGTTTGGCGATTCAGTGTCAGTGTTTCTGCTGGGGAAGAGCCTGGTTTGGGTAACAGAATTAAGATTCCTGGGTCCCCAGAAAGCACACTGCCTTCCTAAGGTACTGGCATCAAATCTTGGCAATAATCCCTGCTCTGTGCCACAATGTCACCTGCTGAAAGCAGAGGTCAGTGAGGACAGAGTATGGCAGTGTGGGTGCCCTGGAGGACAGCGGCATTGGAGAGGACACTGGTTCACAGCCTTGTCCTGCCCTGGCCCAGGCAATGAGGAGCCACAGGGACAGAGGGAGATAAAAACCAAGAGGCCTCACGTCACCTAACCGAGTAAGGGTCAACCCACCACACAGCCCCTTAGCCAAGGTACTGCTTTCTGCGGTTTCTGTGACTACAGTCTGACAATATGACGTGGAAAATTCCAGAAATAAATGACTCAGAAGATATAAACTGTACTCTTCTGATAGCATGGTGAAATCTTGCACCACGCCTGTGTCCCACCGGGGCTGTGAATCCATTTCTCTGTGAAACCGTCTACTGCACATACTACCAGCCCGTTAGTCACCTGAACCCAGCTCAGTTTCCAGGGCACCTTCACAGTGCTGCAATGCTGACGTCTGAGTGAGTTAGCAACAGCCTCAAAGCACGAGGGCAGTGACGCTGGTGATTTGGACATCCCAAAACCCTAAAGTGCTGGTTATGTTTTATCTCTTATTTTTTCGTACGGGGGATTGAACTCAGGACCTTGTGCTTACGAGGCAGGAGGTGGCACCATTGAGCTAAATCCCCGGCACCTGGATATATGGTTTTAGGTACTACCCATGCATCCAGGCGTCTGCTGGGGAGACCACTGTAATTACAGCAGGAGACATTTACTGACTAGCATTATGGCTAAAATCTAAAATGTCCCCCCAAAGCCTCATGTGTGTGGAAGGTGATGGGCTCATAGGGTGCTCTACCCAACAGTGGATTCCGCAGTGAACAAGTTCATGGCCGAATGAGCAGTTAGGAAGTGGGTCACCAGGGATGTGACCTGGGAGGTTGTGTTCTTGTTCCTGGCTCCTCCTGGCTGCCATGGGCTGAGCACCTTTTCCTCTGCTGTGGCCCTCCGCCATTCAGTTTCTGGCCCAACGCGGGCTGACCAGGGACTGAAACCGTGACCCCAAAACAAACCTCTCCTCCTTTGAGGTGCAGACATCGGGTATCATGTCTCAGCAACGGGAAGGTGACTAAGACGACCACCTACTATGTAGTATGCCCTGGGCTAAGCCTAATTTACCTACAAAACCATGTGAGGCCCATGTGCTGAGAGCTCAGCACAGATGTGGAGCCAGCCCAGGTTCAAATCCCAGCCTCAGCACTTACTACTGTGCTACTGTGGGTGAGTTACTTAACCTCTCTTTGTCTCTGTTTCCTCATCTGTAATCTGAGGACTGGGTGCCTAATCATAGCACCTGGCAGATAATAAAAGTTCAGTAAACACTAGCTGGGCTTACTTTGATCACCCCCTTTTACAGATAAGGACACTGAGGCTTAGAGCTCTGAAAACATTCTAAAAAGCACTGTGACGTCACTCTTTTTGGGATCAGTCGTAAGGTACTGTGTGAGGACACCATGAGCCTCAGTTTTCTTCTCCTTAAAGGAGGAGAAATGAGAATAGCAGGGACAAAATGAGAATGTGTTTCCTGTTTTCTCCCATACTTGGGGCCCTGAGGACAGAGAAGCTGGAGGGGGGAGGGAGGGACCCCACGGGCAGGACCTGGCCCCAGGGAAGTCCTCTAAAATGAAGACACGGCAGGCACACGCTGCACTGGTCCCCAGTGGGAGGAGGACAGAGGCTTTCGCGCACCAGACACCATTACCCAGAGACACTGTGGTCACGAGAAGCTGCAACATGAAGACGGCAACCATGCAGGAAGAGCTCGGGGCCACACCACACTGCACCTGCTCTGCAAATGGCAAGGACAGCAGGCTGTCCCCGCGGTCTCAACTGTCCTCCCAGCCCAGCTCCAGCTTCACAGCTGTCAGCTCCAGACCACAGCTGTCCAGAAAGCCAAGCCAACGAGCACCTCTGTGCCTGCTCACGACCACATGGCCACTTGACACAGGGGCTGTCCCCTGTCTGTCTGTCTGGACCGGCTGTGACCGCTCTTCAAGTCCGTGAGAAGCCTGGAGCTCCATCTCTAGCACCAAGAAACAAAACAGAAACCATCTCTCCCTTGTGCCCTCCTGCCAGACCTCAAGCTTTGTAATGATCACCACAATGAACACGCCTGGCTCCTCCCTGTGCCCTGGTACTGTCCTCAGAGCTTTGCAGGTATTCATCATGTCATCTATACAACACAGTCACCCTACAAAGTGCTTACTGTCATTTTCCTCACTTCACACACAAGCAACACAAGCAACAGGGAGGGAAAGTGACATTCCCAAAGTCACACAGAGAATAGGTGGAGGAGGCAAGAGGCGCCAGCCCCAGAGTCTGAGCTACTTGCCAGCAGCTGCTGAGTCTTTTCACCTCGGGCATCCCCATGGCACAATGCATGGCTCAAGGAACATTTGCCAAAACAGAATTCAACAGAGTGAGTATTATGCAGGGAAAAAAAATAGTCTGATAAAAAGTATATACTAGGGCCAGGGATTTAGCTCAGTGGTTCCGTCACCTGCCGCACAAGCACAAGGTCCTGAATTCGATTCCCAGTACCAAAAAAAAAAACAGTATATACTAAGAGAGTAGATTAGGTACATGGGCTATTTTTCTTTTCTTTTCTTCTTCTTTTTTTTTTGCTTTTCTCTATTTTCCAAATTATATGCAAAATGACTAGAGTTTCTAAGGAAAGTAGGAGTGCAGGCTGAGCCCTGGGTGCCCATGGGGTCAGCCTGGCTCAGGAGCAATGAAAAGCTTCACAGATCAGCCAGGCAACCCAGAGTGGCTCTGGGGAGGGGTATTTAGGGCACCCGGCACCCAGGAGCCCACTTGAGTTGAAGGAGGAAACTCACCAGAGGGTTCAGCTGCCTCAAAGAAAGATCCCCGCTCCCTGTGAGGACCCTCCTTGTGTCCCTGCCCACGGCCCAGCACCAGCTGCTGGGGACACGGCAGAGTGGTCACAGAAGGACAGAACTGGCTCCTAGTCAGCCTCCCAGGGCTGGCGAGGGTGTAGAATGATGCAAGAGAGGAAAGAGCTCGGGACGCTGTCCCACTGTGCCACACAAACAGCAGCCATTTTATCTTCAAGGGAAGAAAGAAAACAAAAATCACTGGCCACATTCTAGAATAGTCACAGCAGGGACATCCAGGAAGGTGGCAAGAGAGGAGGAAGGGATAGTGGGTGCCACTCTCCTGTTCCGATCGTATTTCTCCCGTTCCCCTGACCTCAGAGCCCAGAGCTAGGTTCTTCCTGCCCAGCAGCAAAGTAGGACACAGAATAAGAAGTGGGCTGCCACTCAGGCCACTACTGTCTTCTCCATTGGACACCCTCCTAGCACAGCCTCCCAACCTGCTGGTATTGGTCCGTGTTGCCATGGCTGGACAACATACCTGATATCCTCAACTTAAAGAGGAGCTTACTTGGCTCACAGTTTCAGAGGTTTCAGTTCATGGGTCCAAGGCAGGGACAGCATGGCAGAAGGGCATGGTGCAGCAAAGCTGCTTAGTTAATGATAGTCAAAGAGCAGAGCAGATTAGGGGCCAGGGATTTAGTTCAGTGGTCCTGCCGCCTGCCTCACAAGCGCAAGGTCCCAAATTCAATCCCCAGTACCAAAAAAAAAAAAGCAGAGCATATTGGAAAGAGCATCCCATAATCCAATCACTAGGTGTCTCTAAAGCTACTCAAGTTGACAATCAAGCTTAACTATCACATTCCACTTATAGGCTTTCTTTTGTTGTTGTTGTTGTTGTTACTGGGGATCGAACTCAGGACCTTGCACTTGTGAGGCAGGAGGCAGCACCACTGAGCTAAATCCCCAGCCCCACATTCCACTTATTGCCAACTGAATACCCAAACACACTGCCTTACACCATATTTAATCTCTAAATACAGACGTTAACGAGGTCAAACAACCACTTAAAATGATGTAACCACCCTGCATACAACCAAAAATGCACCAATCCCTTCTGCAAAACCTGAACAGTCTAGGCATTGCTCAAAAGTCTAAGTTCAAAGTCTCCTCTGAGTCTCAAGGCAAGCTCTTAGCTGTGAACCCCTATAGCAATTGAAAAGCAAGTTATATTATACCAAGATACAATGGTACAGGGTAAATATTCCCATTCCAAAAGGAAAGAATAATGGGAAAGAAAAGAATTGGACCAAGGCAAGGCTGGAAGCCAGAGGGGTGGACATTAAGTCCTATAGCTCCACGTCCGGGATCCAGGGCACATGGTGTGAGTCATGAGTTCCAAAGGGTTTGGGCAGCCCTGCCTCTAAGGGCCTGTTGGTTGCAGCTCTCGGCCTCTCTCTTGGGCTGGCTCACTCACTGCCTGTGGCTTTCCTTGGCAGCTGTCTCATGTTCCTGACATCTCCAACTTCCTGGGACATGCACCTTTGGTTTTACTCCCACAGCTT